CACACACACACACACACACACACACACACACACACTCTGTCTCTTAAACATGCTCGAACAAGATGTTGAGCTGCCCAACTAATAAAATAAAATGTGCTCTGGCAGATTCCAAATTCCTTCTTGAAGTGAGCCTAAGGGTCCACACACACACAGACACACACACACACACACACATATACACACACACACACACACACACACACACACACACACACTCACACACACACACACACACACACACATTCATGTTGGTGATGAATCGCTCTTTTGCAAACCTTTGACTATTTTCTCCAAGAAACAGCAAAAGTGTGTGATTCTGTGAAGGTGAGGTCAAAGGTCAACCCCTGCAGCTGACCCAACCTTGACCTCTACGACCTAAATCAAGCCGTCTCCTGCATCGGCTGCTAGATAAAACACAGAGAAAGCAGTACTTGTGTGTGTGTGTGTGTGTGTGTGTGTGTCTTTCATTGGATTCCATGCGTATTTTCAGACGTCCCGTCTGTGCTTCTCATGCTCACAGCTGAGAATGAGTTTCTGTGTTTGTCTGTAACATCCTCAGGGGTCTTTAAATTAATATTATGATAGTAAACACTCAGCCTTCAAATTTAAATATATAAACAAATACAGAAACATGAGCTCATATGCCCAGAAGATGCAATCGTTCATGTCATTCCATAACCTGAAAATAAACTGATGGGATTGTGAAGAAAATCAAAACAAAGAAATGTGACATGAAATAAAATGAAGAAATACCTATTGCAGATTCTGCACGTGCAAAAGTCCACTTAGTTCCAGTCCTCAGATGTTGAGTGCAGAGAAGTGACCGCTGGGTGGCGCTGTCAGACTGATACTGGTGCAATTACACAGATTATACCGCTTCAGCAGGTTTTTTTAACTGCTTACACACATTTCCAAAACCTTGACTCTTTTTTTTTTTTCCAGAACTTCACACACAAATCCAAGAACTGCACACACAAAATGCAAAATGAAGCACTGCATTCAAAATATCACACACATCTCAAAAGCAAACATTGCAAACACCTTTTCCATAATAGTAATTCCTGCTAGATGTGTGTGTGTCACACAGAGAATGCTGTGTTGTGTTTTGCAAAAAGTGTTCTATGAAATTGAAACTCAAATTAGTGTATGGCTTTGCAGATTCGGTGTGTGCTTCTGCTGTTTGAGTGTCAGCTTTCAGAAACTGTGTGACAAGTACAGATTCTGTGTGTACGCAGTTGAAAAAAAAAACCTTAATAGTGCTAGATTTGACTAAAAGTAGCTCCTTAAATAGTAATGTGATCGTGTTTTAAACTAGAGCAGGTGGTTTGGCTAATCCGTGCACTGATCCTCTGAGAGAGAGAGAGAGAGCTGAAGAGGCTCAAGTAAGTAACAGCTCCGTTATTCCGGTGAAAGCATGGCAACGGAGGCACAGAGAGTGGTGCTGATCACCGGCTGCTCGTCCGGTATCGGGCTCGCGATCGCCGTGATGCTTGCGAGAGACGAGATGAAGCGCTACTACGGTAACAACATTCATCAACGTTTCTGTAAAAATACCACAGTTCAGTTATTGTTACTTCAGAGTGGCAAACAACCCTAATTACAGAAATAACGTGACAGAAAGACCCAGATAGCACACTTACATCTGCAAGAGGTCTGTTAAAGGTCGCTTGATCTGGAAAGCATCTGCTGTGTAAACGTCTGACAGACGTCTTTAAGATGTCAGTTTTACATGCTTTCTAAATCATAAACATCTTAAAGACATCTAATATCTATTTGACATCTGATAGAAAACATCCTATAGACGTATTGCAGATGAGCAAACTCTCTAAAAATACTCTTGCAGATGTAATGCAGACGTCTAATAGACGTCTCTGTGATGTATGTGTGCTACCAGGGAGCGCTTCTGCTCAGTTGAGATCCAGTTGTTACCTTAAACTATTAAAGATTGGTTTCGGTGAATGGAAATAAAGGTGAAATGAAATAAAATAAAAATAGCAAATAATGAAAAACTTTAACTTTAACGTGAAATGCTTTCTTGACTACTAAGTATAAGTACTAAAATTACTAACTGAAATAAAAATAAAGCTATAAATAGAACTACTAAAAACAAAAACTAATAAAATTACGAAATGCATAACAATGATGACAAAGTTAAAATGAAAAAAAAGCACATTAAATATTTTAATAACCACTATAATCGTTATATAAATAATAAATAATACCAAAATAACACTGACAAGTTTTCAGATTACTAAAATGTAGTAACTCTGTGATTACCATGGTTATTGCTGGTAATGTTGGGTTGGTTAATGATGCTGCTGACAATAGAAGATCAGATCAGATTAATTAGAGACAGAATAAATCCCTCAGATGTGAGTGGGATCCTATAATGGCTGCAGACAGAGACGCACACATGTGTGTGTGTGACTGTATCCTTTAAAGAGCATCTGTGTGCAGGGAAGCAGCTCATAATCAGTGTGTGTGTGTGTGTGTGTGTGCGCGCTGAGCTGGCCTCTATCCCTGCTTAGCATAACCCGCTGTAACACATGTCAGAGGCAAAACCCAGTGAGCTAAACACTCTTAAAATGTTCCACGAGGAACCTTTAACATCCATGGAATCTTTCCATTGCACAAAGGTTCTTTACAGTGGAAAAAAAGTTCTTTAGATGATATTATTCACAGGAATAATACATTATTTTTTTAAGAACTGTTCACTGAAAGGTTCTTTGGTGAACCAAAATGGCTTTTCTGTGGCATCACTGTGAAAAACCCATTT